TCTTGTCTGACAGACCTCCCTGTGGTTCCTTAGCAATCTCCTGGCCTTTATGGATATTTCAAAGAGAGATTCAAAGCTAACATCCACAAATGAGAGAAACTATGTTTGTCTTTCTGAGTTTGGGTTACCTCACTCAGAATGATTTGTTTCCAGCTCCATCTTTTTTGTGGTACATCCATTATAAAGAAAGCCACATACATAAATAAACGCACACACACACACACACACACACACACACACACACACACACACACACACACACACACACACACACACACACCCCTCTACCTCTCTGTTCATTTAGGGGCAATGAGAATCTAATATAATGAACATATCTAGTGTCTAAATGATTTTTTCTAAGTTCCTTTGTTTACCAAAATGAGCCAGATCTTAGAGAAATGGACAGGGACAATAAAAGGAAAAAAATGAGCTTGGAACTTCTCTTTTGGTTGATGCAGCTTGAGATGGTTGAGACACAGTATAGCACTTAAGTATTCTGGTTGACTGATGAAAGGGTGTTTTGTAGTATGAGGTAAGTAAAACCAAAACTGAGTTTTGTTTATAGTTATATAACAGGTTTAGGTACTGTCTCTTTGCTTCAGGTTTCTCCTATGCAAAATGAAGTATTTTAATAGTATCTTTCATGCTGAATATTAAAGAAAATGTACATGGGGACTAGCATTTAGTTTGCAACATTTTGTTAGTAAGTAATAAGATTATTAAGATGTAGCCAAGGACATTTCAATTGATATTCCTGGGAGGCCTGCTCTTTTCTGAAGGGAAGTGGAGGAGGAATGGATCTGAGAGAGGAGGTGGGGATGCACTGGGAGGAATACAGGGAGGGGAAACTTTGGTTGGAATGTAATGTATGAGAGAAGGAGTTTTTAAAAAGATAATGTTAAATGTTATTAACAAACATTTAAATGAAATAATGTAAATAAAAATGAGTGAAATTTTGACTTCAATTGTTAGTTTCCTACTTATAACTACACATTAGTAATTTTAAGTTAGTTCAAGTGTCATTGTGGTTTCTCTTCCTATTCTACAGATAGAAAAGTAAGATTTAAGAGCTCAAAAAGCCTGTTCATCGAATTTAAACTCACCATATCTACTCAAAAATTCTAAAGCCTCTTTTCTTTTACTTGAAACATTTGATTGCAGATGATGTGGAAGTTGTCCATACCCTATTTTAAAGTGCCTTTGGTGATAGTGTAACTAACTATAAAGTAGTTACTCTTCAGAAAATTGCAGTTTCACTCAGATTGCTTCTTGTACATGGAAGAATGAGCATACTTGAAACTGATAAAACATTGAAGTACTTCTAGTGGTGTCACAGACCTAAATGGATTACAACGTTGTTAGTTGTGAGCAGTGAAAGTTCCAGGGTTCAATGGGGATGGAGAAGAAAGGAAAAATAAAATAAAATAAAATAAAATAAAATAAAAGAGTCCTGGGGCTAGAAAGATGGTTTCATAGTTGAACGCAATTGCTGCTTTTGCAGAGGATCAAGGTCTTGTTCCTAACACCTCACAACCATCCTTAATTACAGTTCTAGGGAATCCAATACCAACTTCTGGCTCTGTGGGCATCAGGCACATATTTGGTGTATAAACATACATGCAGGCAAAACACAAATTGTGTGTGTGTGTGTGTGTGTGTGTGTGTGTGTGTGTGTAAATGTGTATAAATCTTTTTTAAAAGGAAAGGAGTCTTTCATCTAGTCTTACTTAATAGCACAATCATCCAAATTTAAAATGTATTCTTTATCTGTTCTTCACATATATACATTTAATTTTAAAAGATTAGGCATGGGACTGGGGTTGTGGCCCAGTGGTAGAATATGTGCCTAACATGCACATGTCCCTGAGCTCAGGCCCTGAACTGCCCTCTCCAAACACAGATTAAGCAGATATATATACCCATAATAAAGTATAAGTCTATTTTATGTTTCTCCTTCCTCGAAGACTATATATGATTAATTTTTCATAACAGTGCTGTTTGTTAACTTGTAACCTATTATTGTTATGTGTAATTAGACATTTAAAACTTTCAGCTTTAGTTTCTAATATAAGATAATGAATAGATATAACTCCTAAACAAAAGTCCTTTGACATTCTCAAAAATTTATAAGAGTATAAAGTTTTGAAAGTAAATCATTTGAAAATCACCATTATAGATTACTAAGTTACAGTTAATGAATATTATATTTTGGCCATATAATACAAAATAAAATTTCTGTGGTTTGATAATGTTGGTGTGAAAAAAATGCACTTCAAATAGTACTGGAGGAAATAGAGAAAAATATGCTATTATATTACAGTTGTATTATTTTCAAACATCTAATCCTTGGTTTTTCCAAGGTGTTTTATTTAATGCTGCTTTTAAGTTAATCTATGATAAAACAAATGTATTGGACTGTAAATGGGAGTATTCTCTGTGTTTCAGAAGCTCTGTAGTGATGCTCAAGTCAAGGTTTTTGGAAAGTGCTGCCAGCTGAAGCCAGGAGGAGATAGTTCTTCCTCTTTGGATAGTTCTATCACTTTGTCTTCTGATGTAAAAGACCAGTGTCCCAAGTACCAGGTAAGATCATTCATTTATTCATTTACAAATAATTTTGAGTCTTTATTTCTCTTAAATTTACCGGGGTGTGACCGGTTATTCCCTATTTTCTCTCCCTCCTTTTTTGTTTCTTTTTCACCTAGCTGAGCTGTTTCCTCTAAAACTTTATCTCTTGAGCTTTTAGAGTCATCAGAGCTATCAAGATTTAAAGCTTTAAACTTATTTATAGAATCATCTAACAAATTATTCACTCCCTTGTCATTAGACATCCCGGGAGGTCCTTTTTCCTTACACACTCCCTTGTCAGTAGACATCCCGGGAGGTCCTTTTTCCTTATATTTTATTGTTGGGCGCGCCCCATCTCTCACTACATTCGGTTTCTGACATGTAATTTTGGACTTCTTTAAGATTGCTACAACAGTGAGAAAGGTCAAAATAGCTCCTAGTAAAAGCACAGAA